GCGATAGTTAGCCAACTCATCTGGGTTCAGGGAAGGCTTTTTGAGGAGGGGCCTCACAACGGCCTCCTTAAGGGCCGCGGGGAAGACACCCTCCTGCAAAGAAGCGTTGACAATTAGTTGTATGTAGAACAGGGATGTCAAACTGCCGGCCCGTGGGCCAGATGCGTCATGGCGAAACCGTGCCCACCCCATTGCCGGCAATGGAAAAAAAGTCATGACACGTCACATGACGTTGTGAGTTTGACATCCCTGATGTAGAAGATTCTAATGCTGACTCAGGTGGAAGGAAAAAGAAGAGAACAACCATTAGCAAGTTGGATGGACTCACTCACAGTGGCAAATGGTACTCCGTGAAGACTTGAACTCTTGGGTTATGGACAGATTGAGAAAATCTATGTGTTTGTTAAGAGTCGATATTGACTTGATGGCAAATAATACATCAAATCCAAAGTCTGAACTGTACTGTACTATTACATTTTATTTTTGCCAGATCAGGAGTATAGGGCTTTTAGTGGACTGAGGATTACACAATCTTGTTCAAAAATAGTGCTCAGTATATTAAAAAAAAGTTAACAGATTCAGTATATAGACTAAAATTTATGTAATGTAAATGTAAATTACATGCTGCAAAGAAGATGACCATTCTGCTATTTAATAATTAATTCTATCACATTAAATTTGACACTTAAGTAGCAATGTCCAGAAGAGTTCTAGAAACCTGACCAAATGGGATTTTATAAATAGGTCTCCATCTAATAGAGTAATTATAGAATAATTATATACAATCTCCATTTTCAAAACAATCCAAAGTATGTGGTGTGGATATGCTAGATGAATAGATTAAGGAGTTATGGGAAAAGAGATCTGACTCAACGTAATTTCTTAAACAGTTGCTTCTAGTTCATATATCAGACTTCAGCAAATAGCCAGACAGAGTCAACTATCAATAAAAAACTAAGTGTCTTTTTAAAAACAGACACCACTCTTAGTGGCTATGTTACTTGAAGATAAGGGGAGGTGTAATGGAACACTTTTGGAGACACAATTTGAAAAAGTCTTAATATATTAATATACTACTTCACAAATGTAGTTCTTGAACTTAAGTCCTTCACATGCATTGTCTATTCTGGATAAGAATTAGGGGAGATAAAATCCAACATACTCCAGAAGACCAGTAGGTTGGGGAAGCTGTTGTATCACTCTAACAGTGTCAGTACAACAATGTAGAAAGCATATTTATCTGTACCCACAACCATCTCTTCATTTCTAACTGTGTTTTGGATATATATATATATTATATTAAGAATGACCATCTCACACTTCTTGCACTTGAGACTAATAATTATCAGACAGAACTCCAGTTGTGAAATATTGAAAGAAAGGGGGAAAAAAACAAATCCAACACTATTCTATGAATGTAAAATAAACTGGTCCTCCCCTAATATTTCTGATATTCTGGTTTATAGTAAATGTATTGTTTTTTTCCTGAAATAGGACCAACAAGTCCATGATAGCAGTACCTCATATCCAGTGTAAGATTGTGTTGAATATTCAAAGTCAGAATCAGGCCCTCCAGGACAGTATCTACATTTTCAAGAAAAAAAATGAAATCATAGCTAGAGGTTGAGTATATTATTAAAAGCAAGGGTTGGCAACCTATAGACTGTGTACATTTAAATGAATAGCAGAATGTTTGAAGGCAAAAGAACTGTTTCAATGGATGTTCAAAGTAACCCCTGTAGGAAGCAGGCTATTGACCTAAATAGATCCAGCCTCTAGGAAGCAGGAGGAGGAAAGGAATTCGATGTAGGCTACTGATCGACTTCAAGACCGTAGAAAGAATTGAACCAGAAACCTTCCAATTTAAAGATTGGTTTGGGTCTTCAGATGTACTAGAAAAACCAACCCTAACCTTGTTTCATGAACAAGGCTAAGTTGATAATGAGGATTACTAGAAAAATTCATGGCTGTATTATGCTACAGTATAATGTAGTTTCTTTGGCACTGGCTCAGAGTGTTATGTGCAACAGCCATTGTGGTTATAAATCATAGTTGTTTATTAGAAAAAACATTGTTTAATATAATGTGCAAACCAAATCTATATGTAAATTGTTCCCAACTCCACAAAGCAAGGTTGAAATCTCAGGCCCATATTACTATTAAAAAAAACATCCTGCAAAAATCCATCACCTGAGCACACTTACAAAAACAAAGCACTGAATTGCAGTTACTCAGTACTTTTGTTTCCTAAAAGATGGCTGGAGTCCCTTCACGTTTGAAACTTGACATGAAAATAAGGCTACATTTAGGCTATATCTGCTTTTTAGAATACTCTTGTTACAACTATCAAATGCCAAGTTTAGCCATTGGCCTGAAAAAAGTTGTGCACCTGTATCTTAAAGCAGGGGTCCCCAACCCCTGGTCTGTGGACCGGCACCAGGCAGCAGCATGCCAGGAATTGGTCTGTGCAAACAAGTGAAGCCCCATCCATGGGATGCAGGCAGCATGTGAAACCACACCCCCTACGGTCCGCGGAAAAACCTCTCTCCAAGGAACTGGTCCCTGGTGCCCAAAAGGTTGTCTTAAAGAACAGGTACCATAGTTACAGAAAAATAATAACATATGCATGCAAGCCTCATTTTAGATAAGTGTAAAGAAAGAGCATAGCCTATTATTTAAAAAAAAGATGTTTACAATTATTAGGAATTTATTTTTAAATGAAGCTGAATATTTTAATGCATTCTTCATATTTATTTTTTACTCCAGTACAAAAGATTCTAAACAAGAAAAAGTAAAAAACAAGCAAACAAGAAAATCTATGTTTTGGCTAGGTAGTTAAGATATTCTGACATGTTATTAGGCATACTCACATGCATATGTTTCCTGTGAAATTAATATGTGGACATCTATGTGGTTTGCACATTACTGCCACAACAGCAATCTGAAAGAAAGGAGTATTGCAGAGAAGTTATTAAATATCTGGTCTTTTTGTATACAGCAAATACAGCAATCCTCAACAATTGAAGGAATGGTTAAAACAACTGTTCTGTTCAGAACATCCTGAAGCTATTCCCTAATCACTTTAACTTTTCCTGAAAATCACTAAAGGAAGCTCTGTTTAAGTTTACAACTTTACAAGCATTGTTTTTCAAAGTACATTACCTTAGACTCAGTAGAACATATTTTTGAGAAGATTTATATAGTATAGAATAGTACTGTGCCTACTCTCTATAGATTAATTTTATTATTTATTGCCTTACCATTGGATGACAAATTACAGCATTTAGCAAGCCTTGACTGATCTCATAAAGCTAACAAGGATTGGTTAGTATATGAATGAGATACCAGTTCCAGGGCAGTAACAATCAGAAATCCTTTGCATATATTCTCAAGAACATTATATAGAGCTGGAGCAAAGTTCAGTTTGAGGAGGTTACTCTTGTTTATCCTTTATAGGCAGATACCCTTCTGAAATCAAATCGCTTCAAAGATGGGCAGCAAACTAAATTAACTGCTGCAACAAAACCTTAATCTCAAATAGTAGTTACCGTAATTAAAATAGACAAACTCTGCCATTCTTTTAATCTTCTAAGCAATATCCAAGCTGAGACATGCATTCAGCAAGATAGTGAGGGGGGTTGGAAAGCAGGTGAGGTTATTTTTTTAAAAATATATAAAATGTTTAGCTAATATTCCTCAGATGATAGTTTTCATACATTGAAAACATTCTTCACTGAAGGTATTTATCAGTTGAATTTATTCAGCTGATAAAACAAGAGCAAGTGGAAATTCTTTCCTGCACTTCCAAAATCTACTCCCAAACTGCTCTGAAGCTACACAAATAAATATTGGGGATACAAAATGGTCAAGGAAGAAAATCAATGTGTGACTATAACTGCTTGAACAACACTACTTTCACCTAAAGAGAAAATTCTCTTCTCTCCCTGTAAGTGTGGCAGGCAAAGTTGTGGTCTGTCAATAATGATTTTGCAAAATCTAATAATTTTAGATTGAGAAGTTCAATCTATTTGAGTTTCTCCATGCAATATTGCTGTAAGTACTAAAAAGGCTACAATGATAACTTTTTAACTGTAAACAAGTGCAAATAGAAACACAAACTTGCAAATAATTTTGCACTTAAAGAGGGGCATTTTGTGACAGGTGTTTTAAATTTTAAAGGATTTGAATTCAAAAAATGTGTATAGCCCTATGCATATCTGTGATGATTTGACAATTACATCTATTGGGCAAGCCAAAACAGTAACTGTTAAACTAACTGGAAAAGATTAACAATTTACCTAGGAAAAATATAAAACTAGGGAAACATTATATTCTTAGAGCAGAAAGTTGAAGTTGCCTTAATACAGGCCAGAGTTAGACCACTAGCCCATCTATTTCCATACTTTAGGAATGGCAAACTCAGAATATTCTGGTAGATTTATTGTCACACAGCAACAAATGTTCATTGCAACAACAAAATTACTTCCTCTCTACACATTAAAGTTATTTAAGGCAACACAAAATTAACTTTTCATTCTTAGCAATTTCATGTGCTCAGCAGCTGTTCAAAGTCATTGTATTCTTTAATTCTAAGTATATAGTTTATTTTTATGTTTATGCATATCTTGCACACAGTTCCAAGTGGGGAATATCAGATTTTAAGAAAAAACAAACAAATTCTGCAATGTTCAGATCTCGTATCCTTCGATATATTCAGGCTGGAAATAGATTCCAAGATCTCAGATATAGCACTGATTTTTTTCAGGTGGAAATTCTTATCACAGACTCTGGGACCTTATGCATGAAAAAAACCCAAAGACTTACCCCACTAGCAGTTCGGATGGGTTTTGCTTTCAACTTAGGAACCAGCACTTTGCGGTACTGAGGGGGGACAGCAGCAATGATGTCAACCAGGCGTGGCTGTGCTGAAAGGCCATACTTGGCAGCCGTCCTTGTTTTAATCCTGAAATTGAAAGCTATGCAATTTAGAGGCTATACAACAGGGAGAGGCAACCTGGTGCTTTCCAGATGATTTGGATTTCAACTCATGTCAGTCCGTATCAATATTTGAACTTGCCTTGGTAAGAGATTGTTAATGCTGTGGTCAATAATAACCAACAAGCTTCAGGTTGCTTCTGTCTATTATATATGTTTTTCTTCAATACAATTACATTGGAGTGTGCTATAACAAATACAAAAAAAGTTGGCACTAAAAGGAGGGAAGAGCTCCAGCCCTATATTCTTGTCTTTGGATGGAGTCTTATGATTTAATTTCTTCTCTCTCTGATCCAATTCAATATCTACATGAAGCCACTGAGTGAGGCTGTCTATTAGCAAGGGGTTAGATATAGATTATTGCACTTATTTAATCTTTGGGCTGGCCAAATGATGCTCTTAAGCTTCTATCTCAGCATCTTAGGTTCTAGAAAGAGAGGAACAAACTTAAGCTCAAACTAGCAAGACTGAGTGGCTAATGATTTAGGGACTGCCTAGATCTGAAAATATATTTTTGGTTCTGGATGGGATGGCATTGCTCCATATATGGGGCTGTCTGTGAGATTAACTCAGAAGCTACAGTCTAGAATTCAGTATCACAAGTAATGATGTGATACTAAATGCATAAACAACCGGTATTCCACGAGCTGCTTTGGTTGTCAGTGGATTTTTGAAGGTGTTGGTGATCAACTAAAGAGCTGCTCATGGCACAGAGGTCTGTAGTACTGCCTATCTCCAATTACCTTTTTGCTATTCATTAAAATATGATACACCAGCCTTCTATCCAACCTAGGTTTGCTATAATAAGCTCTCTAGAACTTCAGATACAAACCTTTTACAGGGCACAGCCTTTCCCATTAAAGTGGGGAAGACAGAAACAGTAAAATGTTGCAGAGCAAAGAAGAAAGAGAAGGCAACTCACTTGTTTAAGTTCACATCTTTGCCCTCATCGTGGGCATCAATGAGTTGTTTGATGACATCAGCTATAGTCATCATCATGAGTTCTGCTCGGCTGAGATCTCCTAAAACAGAAGTAAAAGGTTATGAAAGAATCTGTGCAAGTATACAAATGTAAACTGACTTGTGCTCTCTCAGACATCATCATCATCATCATCATCTCTGGGACATCAGAATTCAAACAGACAAGCACCTGCAACATAACATCCCGGATTTAACAATTGTCGATAAGAAAGACAAAAAAGTCTGGATAGTGGACGTGGCAGTGCCTGAAGATAGCAGAATAGGCAAGAAAGAACTGGAGAAGATAACAAAATACAAAGACCTACAAATAGAAATAGAAAGACTGTGGCAAAAGCAAGCAAAGGTAGTACCAATAGTAATAGGCGCTTTGGGTGCAATCCCAAAACAACTGGAGCACCACTTGAACACCATTGGCACTGACAAATTTGCCATTAGTCAATTGCAAAAGGCGGCCTTACTAGGAACTGCTTCCATCCTGCGATAATATCTGTAATACCATCAAACATCCACATCTGCCTATCCCAGGTCCTTGGTAAGGACTCAATAGGTAGACAAAAATGCCAAATCCAGTCTGAACATCTGGCTGACTGTGTGATGATCAATAATAATAAAGTTGGAAGGGACCTTGGAGGTCGTCTAGTCCAAAACAGATCATGCCAGACAAATCTTATTGCATTCTTTGACCAAGTGACAAAATTAGTGGACCAGAGGAATGCTGTGGATATAATTTACTTGGACTTCAGTAAGGCATTTGACAAAGTAGATCACAACCTACTACTTGAGAAAATAGAAAAATGCGGGTTAGACAGCATCACCACCAGATGGATCCGTAGCTGGTTGACCAGCCGTACTCAGCGTGTGGTCCTTAATGGAACCGCATCTACATGGAGGGAAGTGTGTAGTGGGGTGCCCCAGGGCTCTGTTCTGGGCCCAGTGCTCTTCAACATCTTCATCAACGATCTGGACGAGGGGATAGATGGGGAACTCATCAAATTTGCAGACGACACCAAGCTGGCAGGAATAGCCAACACTCCAGAAGACAGGCTTAGAATACAGGAGGATCTGGACAAACTTGAACACTGGGCGCTATCTAACAAAATGAAATTCAATGGTGAAAAAAGTAAGGTTCTACATTTAGGCAAGAAAAACCAAATGTACAGGTATAGTATAGGGGGTACCTTACTCAATAGTAGTAACTGCGAGAGGGACCTCAGAGTCCTAGTGGACAATCATTTAAATATGAGCCAGCAGTGTGCTGCAGCTGCCAAAAAAGCCAACACAGTGCTAGGCTGCATTAAC